AATGCACCTCTAGCGTCATCAACAACACATCATTTTTCACTTTGTTCTTCCTTACCTATAAAACAAACGGGCTATTTCATCAACACTTATCGCCTGGATTTAAACACACCTGCTACTGTCTCTCTTTCAACCCCATGTGTCATCCTCCGCTCCTGCAGCACTTTCTCATCTCTCTCCACCTAGTGGAGGTGACTGAGAGGTCTTGGCAGATGACCACAGGAGGAGGTTACACTTGTGGAGGTGCGTGTACATGAACCTTTGCACTAGCCAGAAGACAAGGGTGTGAACTCGCAACACACCTGTCGCCTCACCTGGATCAGATTTCCTTCACTCTCCATCCAACCATGAATCGCTCCTGTCACTCTCTCTTTGTCTGTCTGTCTGTCTGTCTCACTCCCTCCCTCACTCACTCGCTCACTCACTCTCTCGTGGGACTTAGATACCTAAACCCCTGTTACTTAACACTCACGATGCCTCCGTCAAACTACACCTGCATATCTTGGTTACATGTAGAGTGTGTGTGTGTGTGTGTGTGTGTGTGTGTATTTTCACACAAATTAAGAAACTCTGAGGGCGCATAAAATGTGCCACTTATTAAAATGAATATAACCTCAAATTACCATTTTCTCAATGGGTGATTAAATCTTTTAATTAAACCACACACACAAACACACACAGAGATCCTATGAGTGCATACCTTAGTACAGACGCAGTTAAAGGCAGGATAAATTAAGCTTGCTTTAATTTGAACTGCCTAACCTGGCAGTTAAATCCCCACAGCAACGTTGAGCCCATCAAGAAGCGTGGATCCCGCCGAAAAGTATTTAGTTCACAGAACGCCCACCTGCTCCTTTACTTGACAGTCGCTGGTAAACAAAGTGAACCATTAAACTGGGTTAAGCTTGTGTCTTCATGGCAGGCGAATCAGTGTCTTTCTGTATGTTTGCATTTACGGTCAACATTCAGCTCAACTTAACCGACTTCATTGTGCCTGCCTGACTGAGGCCCTCTGTCATTTCCAGTTTGTCTTTCCCTTTCACCCACCATAGTCCCTCTTTGTGCTAGGATTGGTCTGCGTAGCCCCCCGTGACCCTGTTGCCAGAGTTTGTGTGGTCGGGGCAAAATTCCTGGCAGCTCTGTAATGCTTTTAGAGATTAGCCTGCTCAGCTGAGGTGCCGGCATTTATGTGTGTGTGTGTGTGTGTGTGTGTGTACGTGTGTGTGTGAGCGAGGCTCAGACAAAACAGAAAAGAGGTCAGCAGTCACAGCCAGAGAGCGAGGTGAACTGAGTTGATGCAGACAGAAAAGGTGGGATGAGCTGGTTGAAAGAGCAAAACAGGACAATCAGGTCCAAGAGGCGGACACAAGGTGAAGACTGTCTATTTGCAAATACTTCAAGGCTCTGACAGTGAAAGAATCCCTGAAATAGATACTATCATGAAGGATTATGTTTCTATTCGAGCTTGTTTTTATGTGCGAGCATTATCAAGATCGGTGGAGGACTATTACAACATTTGAAAAAATGTGATTATCCAACTTAAATGTAGAGATTTGATAAACATGTAGACCAGTTGTAATTTATTTTGATAAGACAAAAGAGCAAAATTTTGACAATATTTTCAAAACGTAGTTCCATGGATATCTGGAGGACTACATTCTGAATCAGGTTAAGTGTTAATATGGCTTCTGTGAGTTTGAAGCTTGACCAGATCAATATCACTCTTGAACGAGTCTGCATTTCACAAACAAGTCCAGCAAATAACAAAGGAAGGATAAAAACAAAAGGGAACAGGAATCAATTTTAAGTGTAACACTATGCAACCTAAATGCTGCAAGACACAGTTAGAAATTCATATATGTGCAAGCCCACATTCCAGTGGGATTACCCTCGTAAAATAAATGGCATATTTTATTCTGTTTACCAAACAGCTGTCACCACAAACGACGCAAATAGTTTTTGCTGTAATAATTTACCATACCATTAAAACTGAAATAATAATATATAAAATCATTGGGCTGTAACGTCTTCATGCTCACTGATCTATTTCTTAACCTCCCTGATCCTTTTCCCCTGTCTCACTGATTCATGAACACACACCCAATGCTTCACTTTTTTTTTTTAAATGCATGACTTTATGTGAAGTCCGACCGCCCACCAACTTGATAAATGTCTGAATTTTACTGTAAGATTTTAGCAGCTCTGAAAAACTGAACCAAGTATCATGAAATACATAATAGATTTGTTTAGTTTGCAGACTGTCCTTACATCCTCTGGGAAATACAAAGTTTCCGGCTTTAAGAACTAGAGCGATCGATCTCCTCTACAAAAGCACCAAAGGGCAGAGTTGGTAAAGGACCATCGATAAACTGTAAAACTTGAATACTTTCAAACATAGAAAGTAGTTCATGTAATACCAAAGCTGAGGGGGCGGCCAGCTGGGAAAAGCTGTTTCTCTGTGTCTGATGAATGGCTAGCATGATACAATTGATTTATTGCTTCTGTTGATCAATGTGTTTTATTTCTCTTTCAGTTTTCTGTGCGATCAGATGTCAAAAATGTATTACTTCTTGTTTAAATAAGACGATCTAAACAAATAGGTAAAGAAAACAAAACGATTGGAATATGATTTAGGAGATTTGCAGCTAGTTATTTACTGGGAGACTAAAAAAAAGGTAGAGAATCTTAGACTTTAAAGGGATTAGATTTCATCTGTCGCCACATGTACCTTCAGCCTGATGTTGGCAGCAGCTGCACTCCGACTCGAGTCTATGTGGTGTCACCAGGAAAAGTTATATGATCTGTCCGGAGGAACATCACCCAGACAGAAACACATGCATATGTGCAAAAGCACAGACAACTTCAGACAGATTACTGCTTATGTAAAAGGAACAGAAACACACACACACACACATATGATGAAGACCATATGGTGTGTGCAGCGGGTAGGCAGGCAGTCAGAATGAGGGGTATTGAGGTTTAGGGCCTGGAGTGGCCTAAGCCACTTGGGCCTAACAGGATTAGGAGGCTGGGTTACTACAGGGCATGCTCCTGGCGGGGCATAGAGGCCAGGTTTCCATTTGAGACAGAAACACAACCAGGCTTTGTACACATTTAAAAACACGCCTGGCTTCCAGAGGTTGTGACCGGGGTGGGAAATCACCACCTGCTCAACGCTGGTTGGTTTTGGCTGTGTTGGGTACATTTCCGCAGACTGCAGCACCAGAATCATTCGACCACTAATGATCATTCTTATGCAACTGGTGCCACAAAGGACTTAGTGCTTGGGGAAAAAATCATCCAAAGGTTTTAACTACAGGTGTAAACATGCAGATGGATCTTGACACATTCTACCCTCAGCCAACAAAAGCAGAATAAAATCTGTTTTTATTTTGTGTCAGTGAATGAATAAGTCTGGGGATTTCTACGATTGAAATGTTATCAATCGATTTTTAGTTGTAATAAAAAATACACAGGTTTTAAGCATAAATGACATTTTGGATATGTAGTTCATGATTATGTAGACAAATTATAAACTAGATCTTAACAACATGTTAATTATGGTTAATTAATCACAGAAAAAGTAATGCCTTTCAAAAAATTAACACGTCTTTTTTTTTTTTAAGGCATCCCTGAGTACATCTCTCTATGTACACTTGTGTGTTTGCTCGTTTGTGTGCTTGTGTGTAGGTGGGGCGGGTGCCAGGGTGTTGCAGGTGAACTAAAGGGAAGCAAAAGTAGTTTGTAAATGAACACTAAATAAGGATGAGAATGTAGTCATTTTAATGTTAGAAATAACTCAAAACAGCATAATAGAGTAAGTCTGCCCTGCAAAGATGTTTCTGAAATTATTTATATAAGTGATTGATCGTGATTAATTAATCACAAAGTGGTTCATCAGCAGTGGCTTGTCAGCACTAATATAAACTAAGAATAGTCCTTTTTTATACATTCTTGGTGAGAGATAGATTAGAATATTGACGGCACCTTTATGAATGTATGCTAAAGAAGACGCTTCAACCTCGGAAAAGTTAGGGCACTGGTCTCCAACCTTCTTTGGCTCGTGAGCCCAATTTGAATTTTCGCAAAACTCTGGCAACCCCAGACATCTAAAACACAAACAGCTTTTATCTAAAGTTGATTCGTTTTCAATCTTGAAACAGTTCGTTAGTTTAACATCAATTTAGACCACATTTAGGCTTTTTCTTCGATTTGATTGTAGACGGGAAGAAATGCTGGGATGATATTTCTCCACAATGGTTGACAGACCGACAGACACTCTCAAAGTTATTTGTTTTGGCATTGGCTATACGGCCCACAGTAGCCTTTGTTCATTATATTTGAATATACAATATATTTATTATTGATCAATAAATACAAATTTCCAGGTGACCCCCATTTGAATTCCATGTAACCTCACGAGGGGTCGGGACACCAAGGTTGGGAAAGCCTGAGTAAGGTGAACAAATGGGCCTTAGCGTGTGGATACGTGACCATCCTGTAACTGACAATTTGTTGCCTCTCTCACTCTGTTGATTATCTTAAACTAGTCTTAAATCTTTTTTTTAAATCTAAAAGTCAAAACTCAAAGTGGCGGGTAGGGAAATGTCCTTACCTTGAAAAAAGACAGACTCACTGCTTCTCACTGTTTCCTCCAGTCTGATAAGCTAAACTAACACGCTAAGCTACTTCTCCATATCTGACATAATTTTGTAGAAATTGTTCATTTTTGGCAATTTAAACAAAAAGCACGTAATCATGTTTTATAAAGGTACATCACCTGAACACCAGCGTGCACACAGACACATACATATGCACATACACACACACCACACACTGTAACGTGGAACACAATGAGGTGTCTGAAAGGCTTATTGTGTGTCTAAGGAGTGAATGAATCTCATCTTGTAAAAGAGAGTGCTTATTATAGAGTTCTGGAATTTGGAGAACAAACACACACTGAATCCAGCACGTATTAACCGATGTGTGAAAGGGATACTCACTTTTAAGGAAGCGGTTTCGGACCCATTTGTTCTGTTTGCGGGCGTAGCGTCTTGTAGCGATCTTCAAAGCTTCTACACCTGAGAAAGTTCAAAGAAGGCTGTTATACAAGAAGGGTGAAATGGAGAAAAAAAGGGGCGTTTCTGCTTGATCAGTCAACTGGTGAATCTGAAGTCATCCCTGTGACATTTATCAGGTTATCCTCTGACCTTTGTCTCGTAGCGCGTCTTTCTCCTGCTGGCTGCTGCTTTCAGGAACAGTCAGGTAGTCATGGAACTCCTTAAAACCAATGGACTGAAAAATCCCATGTTGATAGTCCTGACTGGAGAGGAGCAGAGAGGAGAGGAAATAAAACATTAATCATCGATTTAAAGAAAGTTTCCGTCTCAGACTTGACATTTGTAGACACCCGGCGGTGACTCACTTTCACCCTCTCCTTCTCCCCTATCTCTCTCCTTCCCTGTCTGACCAGATGTGAGGCCCTTCGGGGGAGAACAAGCGGCAGAATGACATTCAAAGAAAAAATGAATGACAAATGCAAAAGGGGCCCACGGGTGCATTTTGGAGTGGCATGGGGTCTGGGGCAGAAGCCCGAAGAACGTTTGTTTCAATGTCAGACCAGCTCGCCCCAATTCATCGGACTGATTGCTCATAGAGTACAGGTCACATGTGGTGGCATTTGTCTTTCAAGAAAAACGTAATATTTTATCTTCACAGATTTCCGCCTGAATCTGTCGTAAACGAATACAGCAGTTTCTGATCTTAAGGCAAAAGTTTTTTAGAAATTGTCTGGACAGCTCTCTTCAGATATTTTCTACTGACTATAACACTTGTAATAATATATACATATATGCTCAAGTTTAGCTGCCAAGTCCTCGCTACATTGGCCCTGGCTCAGCTCCAGCCTGTGGCTCATTGGTGAATGTCGTCAAACTTTCTCCTCCCTGTATTTCTTTTCTCTCTTCCACTGTTCTACGCAGAGTAAACACCAAAATGCAGCAAAAAGATATATTGCTTTCTAATGATGAAAATCTAAACTCTTGCTGCCACATTCCACACACTTGAATGGTAAATGCACTTGAGCTTGTGTGGCGCTTTTCTAGCCTTCTGAATACTAAAAGCGCTTTAAGACCGCATGTCACACCCACACATTCACACACTCATGTTGCTGCAGGAGCTGGGGGATGAGACGGCCACTCTACCAACTGAGCCACAACCTTTAGTTTAGGTTTTCACAATCACCAAGTAAATTGGAAATCTGTATATATTTGTTTCTATTTTTAATTGACTTGAATGGATAAACTTACTTTAATACAAACTGTGTTTCTGTTTTTGTCTTTTTTTTCTTTTCATTTAGTTTGCGTGTGGTTAAAAATGTCTTTGTGTACAGCACTTGATAACACAAGGTTAAACAACCTTATGTTAGAAATAAGGGGCTTCTTTTGTTCAATAAATGATTCTTGTTACAGAAACAAGAAGAGGAAATCACAAAAATAAATCTGGCTAGACGGGCAGAGACAGAAATTTGAGAATAGCGACAGAGCACAGGAAACGTAGAGTCAATGGAGGGTGAGAAAAGAAAGGGAGAGGGAGGGAAGGAAGGAGGGAGGGAGGGAGGGGAGAGATTTGACCTTGATGTCTGGCCACAGCAGCATGCAGGGGATGGAGACACAAGGGGAAGAGGAGAGAAAGACAGACAGAAAGAGGAGGGGGGGTAAAGTGCTTGGGTGATCGGATTGCTGAGAGGGCAATAGTGGCAGAGATGGAGGGAGGCAGAGAGAGAGAGAGAGAGAGAGAAAGGATGCAGATGGAGGAGGAGGAGGCTGCTGTTTTGAGGTGAGATGGGGTGATGGGGTGATGAGAGAAAGGAGGGACGAAAGAAGGGAATTGGCAGCTTCCTGGGCATGACTCCACCAATGCATCAACTGCCCGCAGCCACACCCACCCCACACACACACACACACGCATGCACACACGCACACGCACACACGCACAATCAATATCTGCAGCCGAGAGACACTCACAGCTAACATATTGTACCTGTTTCTACTTTAGTTAGTGAGGACCACAAACAGATGAATACATATTTTAATGTCACAAATCCCTCTACAAGAAGGATTGATTTCACATAAATTGCATTTATTACCAGGTCCTTGCTACATCTTTGCATTATAGTCACCTAGACACAGCAGCATATGAAGCACTCAGGAAAGACTGTGACCGAGCAAACCACGCTACTAGTCATGAGGTTACCGTTCAAGAAATGTCTAAAAAAAAAAAAGGGTAATTGTAAGACAGACAGCACAGCAATCCTGATCCTATTATCATTATCCTCAAGTAGCATCTTTAACAGACAACATAACATTAAGTATTTGTTCCTGGGCCAGAGGATATTCATTCAGTGTGTTCAGCTAAGGCCCTGAGGTAATAAGCACAAATCACCAGACTCCCTTGGTAGTGCTAATGTCCTATGAGGTGGGCTTATCTGTACAATTATTAATAATCACTGGACATCCTAAAGACATATCAGTCCCATCTGAACTTAAGTCGCAGCAGTGTGGGCTGAGTCTAAACTGGTCTCCAGGCCTTTGGGAAGCAAACAGAGTACAGAACAGAGTGACCTGTCAGACAGCGAGGGAGAAATAAATAACTGGATAGGTGTTTGACCGAGTTCACTTTACTTTTATTACCCCAGTTAGATGGAAGAAAGGAGTTAAGTCGGTACCAGACTGAATGTCTGGATCATTAATTTAGATAGGAGGATGGGAATGTGATCTTTAACTTGTTGCACAGACACTGAACTCTCAGACTGCCTCGTAATGTTCAAAAGCAATGACGTCAGGGCAGAAGCCAAGTACAACACACGCTTTCACCAAACACAACAGGCTTACCATCCCACTCTGTGTCTTTAAAGGTGGTCACAGTTGACATTGTGGTAAAAATAAAAGGAGATACAATAAAAAACGTCTGGCAACACATGCCATGTGTAGGCCGAGTTTTTTGGCCGTGTGAAGTGAGAATAATGCAACGTTGAGCTAACGGTGTTGAAGAGGGACGTGCTAATTTTACACATCAAATACTGTTAAAAGGTTGAGGGAGCACTTATAAGTGGAAAAGAAAAGTGGATCTTTTGAGGCTCCAGGGGGAATGTGAAAAGTGTTATCCACCACCTCAAGTGGTGTCACTTGAGGCAATTTATTAGAGTCGATTTAGGCTTTCAACTTGGGCTGGGCGATAAAAGTGATAAAACGTATTTTTGTAAAATAAGGATTTTCCAAAAGGAATATCAAGATTTTTTCTTGGCTCCCATAGGTCATCCCCCCTCTTATCTTCCCACAGAGTGGCACAAACCATGAGCCACCCAGCCACACATATTTTTGCTGAAGTTGCTTTGCCTCATTTGTACTTTTCTGTCCCCTAAAACTGCATAAGAGCATTTTTAAAGACAAGTTTACAGCTTGCACATTAACCCCTAAAGAGAAATTCAGGTTACTTTACTACAAATGTATTGATCATATAAAAGCAAAACATGTTTCAAGTCAGTTTTTCGAGAAGGAGATAAAAACGATACAAATCTAAATCGAGTTTGGTGATTTTCATTTAAAGATTCTTTTAGGCCACATCGCCCAGCCCTACTTTGAACTACAATTTTGAAAACAATGGATTAGAGGGAGAAAAAGATTACATGTAAACTCTAACCTCCTCCTAATCTCTGCATGAGGTGAGCCGCTTGACGCTACATTAGCAGACACCTCTCTTAGCAGACATTTTTGGGTAATGGAAGGAACGGAATTGTCCATCGTGAGTCTATCAGTGTTAAAGCAGTGCAACAAATAAAATATGGAATGACATATGATTCATTTAGGTACAGGGTCTAGAACAGTGGAAATGTAAAACCAATAATGATATACCTGTCACCCTGGACTCTCTGCTGGTTGTAGCAGACATGGAAGTCTCTGAGCTCTGCTATCAGTCCAGCAGACAACATGTCATCCACACGAGCATCCAGCCTCTTGTCAAGCGCTACAGAGGAGCAGAACGAGATATATGAGCAGACAAATATAAACAGTTCATGCTGCACTGAAGCGCCCATATCAACACTGCAATTTCTATTGTTTGGGTGAAATAGCAATAACTTTCGAAAATGAAATCCATACAATGCTCCCTTCCTTACCCTCCATGTCAGCATGCAACCAGAAGATGCAAGGGTCTGAGAATCTCAGCGGCCCTCCCAGCCCATCGCTCCCTTCCTGCCCTCTCTGCTCCTCCAGCCAGCGACTGTGCGGGACGCCTGTCTCCTCGTGGATTTGAAGACTCCTGTAGATATCAAACCCACAAACAGACACGTTCAGGTGAAATTCAGTACTTTTCCCACTGAGACTATGTGCATACACAACCAAATGAATAATTCTGGGTTGTTTTTTTCCCAGTTTGATAAAAAGTCTATGATCTAATAAGCCATAGGTTTACATCCCAGTCCCTGTGTGTCTGGTCTCTGTGGGTTCAAGAAATAAGAGGAGTCAACCATCCATTCATCCATTAAATCTTGTGTAAAAGAATGTCTCAGTCACCTCTTATTAGGAGTAAATGATCAACAAAATGTCAACAATAAAGACAAGAATAATAAGACAAATATCAAATTAAGATGAAACAAGGCACAAAAATAGTTTGAAGTCACTCTTTTCCTCACTATAAGATAGTTTACATTCAGTCAGGGCTTGAGCTGATAAGATTCAAATCCAAATAGAATTCTACAGCCGTGCCTCGCTGCTCTCTGAGGTTAAAACAAAAAGATGATTCCTGTCATCTCCTGTCATCCAGAAGAGCGGGGTAACTTAACCTGCTAGCATAAAAGCCCTGAGCACGCAGGCTGCTACTCATCAAACCTCAAGTGTGTCCATGTGTGTGTCAGACGGCTGCATATGTCAGGTGGAGGCTGTATGATCAGGCAAAAAAAAAAAAAACCTGAGGAAACTCTTAAATACCGTGAGACACTCGTGAAAGCATAGACACAGAACATCAAGACACTCAGAAACACTTTACAGCATGGTATCCTCACAGTTCAGAGTGCTTTCTTCAATCCTATACTTAAAAACAGAGGTAAGAGGTGTTATAGAAAAACGTTATATAAAAGTGTTTAAGTGATAACAAGGTCGATTATGAAATGATATTTATTTATTTTTAAAGGTTTATTTTGGGGCTTTCTATGCCTGTCAGAGTGAGAAAGAGTGGGGATTGACACACAGGATCCTCAGGTCGGATATGAACCTGGGTCGCCCGCTTGGAGGACTACAGCCTCCTAATATGGGGGTTCACACACTCATTTTCATAAAATTTGAAATGAGTTTGTTTTGAGGGGACAACAAAGCTGGTGTTGGCCCTTCCTGTTACATAATACAATCTGTGTTTGGGTGTTTCAAGAGAATTTTTCATTTTTTAAAACAAAGCTGCAGGTTTATGCAGCATTTCAATATTAAATGGTAAATGGACTTGAGCTTGTATAGCGCTTTTATAGTCTTCTGATTACTCAGAGCACTTTTACACAGCATCCACACCTGTTCACACACTGATGGCAGAGGCTGCTTTGTAAAGCGGCCATCCATATCAGCTAATCTGATTCATACACATTTATACAAAGCAGAAGAAGTAACTTGGGGTTAGGCGTCTTGTCCATGGCACATCGACATGTGGCTACAGGACCAAACTCCCAGTTGAAGACGACCGAATTTACCACTGAGCCACAGCCGCCCATAATCAATCACATCACACAGATTGAAAGCAAGTACCAATCCAACTTAAACTTATTCTCTAAGCGTATTACGGTTAGCGTTAGCAAGTAGCTTGCTTGAGCAACAAGCTAACCCCTCTGACTAATTAGTTACTTAAGCATCTCACTGTATTCACAGACAGACGTGTCTCTTATGTTGCCTTCTGTTTATGTTTGTTTTTTGTTAAGGGTTTTTTTTTTTCTGCAGTTAGCTGTCCATTTTAGCTAGCAAGTATAAAAAACTAGCCAAACAACATTGTTAACACACACTGGAAACAAGTAGAAGGATCGTTTTATAACTTACATGTTACAGATATTACAGGTAAATATTAATTGTTGCTATAGCTTACTATATTAAAACATTCTTTGCTTTATTATAATGTTGTTTTATATTTTGTTTGCCAAAAATCCTTTTAGAGAGACTCACATTTCTTTCTAAGTTAAAGTCTAAACTATTCAGAGTTTACCAGAAAGAAAAACATTGATGATTGACTGGACATCAAGTGTCACAGATACACCAGTATCACCTGGCTATCTTGCGTCTGTCATTGGGATGCAACATGGCGGCCATCTTGGGGTCAACCTCTGTCAGCCGTTTATGTAACTCAGCTCCTCCCAGTTTCTCCAGCTCCAGCTTCCTGTCGGGAGCGCCCTCTCCTCCATCCCCTGACTCCTCGTTCTCCTGCTGTGGGAAGATAACATTTACACTTTACAGTTGATCAATGCATCCTTCAAATATTCTTCTAACACAGTTCATAGATTTGGAGGACAAATAATGTGCAATATAAATACAAAGGAAAAAGCAGAATACACATAAGGAATTCTTTATTAATATTTTTATCAATTGATTGTGCATTATTTATTTGATCTTTTATCTAAGGGATCACTTTGAACTGAAAGCAGGATACACTGTGTCCTGGCACATTGCTTGTTTTCAGCAGTGAAAAGAGAAGATGAATAAAATACAGGTATGGTACATAAATGAGATGAATCATGTCTGGAGGATGAACTGAGGTGTGTTTGAGTTGTTCATGATGACACTTACCCCTGTATCCAGCAGGACCTTCCATAACAGAGACTCTATGTAATAGTTTGTTCCTCCAACAATGATAGGCAGTCTGCTCCTGCTGTGCATGTCGTCTATGTTGGAGGGTTAAGGAGGAATCTCATCCAGGCACACTTGAACAACATGAACTAGAGAATTTTATACACTCATTCATTTCATTTTAAATATCTATATATCAAAGAAAAAGAGAGATCTAACTATCTGATAACGCAAAAAAAAAAACTAAAAATAATTATCAATTGTGAGGCAATTTTCTTTCTCACCCAAAGAATGTATAATGAATGGACAACACAACTCTGCCTCTCACCGTTGCACAGAAATGAAGCCAAAATACCACCTTGCATGGGTGCTGACAATTGAGCTGTTGATGTCATTTAGAGCCAGAGTTGTGCAGGAGAGATCCTTCTGCAATTTTGATGATGTACTTCTAACGCTAACATAAACCTACATTTAAAAGAACGCTTAAACAGCAAAGATCCCTCAGATCTACAGATCCCAGCAGAATAGATTATTGTGTCGTTTTGAAGCAGAATCTCAGTTATGGACATTCAATGACTCTTGTGTTAGTGTGTATGTTTTCTCCTTGTCGTTTCCGCTCTGCTCTGATAATCCTGTCCAACAGCGCCAAAGGAGCCTCACTCGTCAGCATGAAAACTATCATCATGAAACCAGGTTAGAGAATAATGTATACGACGTGCAATGGGATTTTATGGTTTAAACAATGTCCTATCTGCTAACACGGAAGAGGCAGTGTTTATGACCGACTGCAGCCTGTCAGAAAAAGAGCTCTGAATATCTTGGCTTCACTACCTGCGAGTGGTTCTTGCCGTCATTTTTATTATACAGTCTATGTTCCCATGAATGATTTCTTATCACGTCTGATATTTCCTGTGACCCTGGCAAACTGGTTAAAAATCCTAGAGAGTATGAGGACTTCCATGCATGAGAATCTTAAATTATATAGCGAAGACATTTCACTGTGCATTACAAGTCTGCAAAGTTGAGGATGATATAACTGATCATTTATAATGAATTAATCATTAGCTGCAGCAGAAAGAGTCAATAGCCATTTGTCAAAAGCTCAATATTGGCCACTCGGTTTGGTTCACCTCCAAAATCAACACAAAAAACATCAATATTGGAATTTTTTACATTACAGATGCCACACCTCCTTTCTCTTCCTCCCTCCTTTTTCTGTCGCATCCTCTCTCACCTTGCATCTTTCCTTCTCTCTCCTCCTTCAAGCCCACCTTCTTTACTCAGAGATAATCAAATAACCTCTCCAACAGGATAAAAGCCCATCCGCCATCCGCACTCTCCTCCCCTCTCTCCCACGCACGCGCACACACACACACACACACACACACACACACACACACGGGAGAGGAGCAGCAGATTAGAAAGAAGAGTGTGATCGCTGTTGGTTGGCGAGAAAAATTGAGGGAGGGCAAACAGAAGAGGGCTGCATGATGGAAAGATATACACGAGAAACAGAAGGGGTTTAAGCGGTGGGTGGGGGGGGGTGGGCCTTCTCCAACTATCACTAACATACTTCTCTCTTATTTCCCCCTCCATCGTCTCTCCCTTCCTGCTTCACAGTTTGAAATCCTCTGTTTCTGTCCCATCTAATCTGTATTCATCTCTTTCCATTTCTCCCTCTTCCCACCAGCAGGCTCGCGCTGCACTGAGACCTATTCTTGGAGATATACCGCATCCCCTCGCCGCACTGGTTAATGTGTGTGTGTGTGTGTGTGTGTGTGTGTGTGTGTGTGTGTGCAATAGAAATGTGTGCGCACATGCCTTCCTGATCTATTAATACCACCTCTAGTTATCGCCTCCTCTCTCCACATCTGTGTGACGGCCGGTGTCTGCGGGAGGGTGTGACTACCCAGAGTATGTGTGTGTGCACGAGTGTGTGAGCACGTGGATGCATTACAGACACTGACTCCTCTATAAATATCATCTCCAGTGATCTCTCTCTTTCCAATTTCACTGCAACATCTGTAGCAAGAGACACCGACAGAACGAGGACATAGCCGATCTTTTTTACACACACACACACACACACACACACACACACACACACACAAACAGCAGACTAATTGGTAAAAGTCAAATTGACTGAATTCTTCCCTTGCAGTTACCACTTAATTACCCGAGGGGAAGATGTGAGGCAGTGATAGCAACATGTGGAAAGTGGTGATACAAAAGATTTTGTTCCTCTGCCAAACACGTTTCCAGGAAAGGATATTAGAGCCAGGGCTTTGTTCCTGAAGTCCACCACAGTGTAGCTGCTAACTAATGGGTCTATAAAGCTGATCATGTGATGTCTGCACTGGGCACGCTCCTCAGCTGTCACCTTATTAGTTATGATGTTAAGCCCATGGTACACCTAGGGGAGGCAAAAGAAACACAAAAACAGAATTGAGTCAATGAGACAAATCATAGAAATTGTAGTTCTACAGAATTGTATTACTACAAGCAACATGTACATGGAGAAAAACTGTAATTGCATTAGAGTGTACAATTTTTCAATCCAAGAGTAAATACTTAATGACTTTCTTTTGGTCCTAGTAAGTATCAAACCCAGAGAAACAGCCAAAAGAAGCAGGCTGTTGTGGAGACAGACGGAGAAGCCAGCCTGTCATCCAAGTGAAACAACACGGAACATTCCTGAAATTATGAAAAACATCTCCCTCCGTCCACTTTACATCACCCAGCGAGGGAGCACCCACAGGGAATTTGACAGCTGGGTGTCATACAGTACTATGTCATGATTTTTCATTCCCACAAACGCAAACACACTCGTGTCGAGAAGAGACTTTCACAAAAGAATGTTGTTTTTTTTTTAAAGATGAGGAAAAACAACGCCTTGGTTCTCCTTGCCTTCATTCAACGTATTATTGTGAGAATCTAAACCTGATTAGTTACCTCTTTGAGTTTGTGTGAACTTCCTGATTACATATGCTCGCTCAGATTTCTTTCTAGCCATTTACATATCACACTTCTGCAACAGTGTTGGAATGAATTTCCGCAGTCATTATGCCTTTGTCACAACCCTGCCTTTTCTCTTTAACACTGAACGCCATAATATTGATGTCCTTGTGTGATTGAACACAGCATTAAGGAAGCATGAGAGAGGCAGGATGTGTAAACAAACAGCAGGAGCTTCACACGCACACGTAAGGATCTGACAAACACACACACACAGCGCTGTTTCAATCTTGAAGTGACACCATTTCACCTCTGTTATTACCTCTGTGACTACCCGATGCTAGGCTAGCAGTTAAAAATATTTACCTACCTGTTACATTTCCCTGTTACGCCTTTGTGGCAATTACATAGATGGCAAGAAGTAACAGGAGCATAACAGTCTCCTCTTGATCAGGGAATGTAAAAGTGGAAAGTGTTCAGCTGAGAAGTCCAAAGTGGTTTTAGAGGAACATTCACCCGAAGATGTGAAGACTGTAAGATAATATTTCACTGTATTGTTGTCAAGCAGCTGTCTGAGGTCAAATATCAACTGAAGTTATCTTTGTGTTTCATATGACATGCTAGCATTAGCTGTATCAAAGCTTCTAATAACAGTTTGCCATGCTAAAAGACAGAACAGGTAAGGAGACGTAGCTTCCAACACAGACAACGGTTTAACAGACAGCCGTCAATTAGGCTACAAATTAGCGACTCACATGCTAGCACATGTTACAGAGCTAAAACTTAAGATTGGCGCTACGTTGCCCCAACGAGACAAAACTGTTAAGTCAACAGTAAGAGAGGAGGGGGGAAATGATGGAATTGATGCATATACAGAACTCTCATATCCAGCTTAAAGGCAGGGTTTGTAATTTTCGAAAAACTAGCAATGATTTTGAAAGTAGCATTCCCTCAGTGCTCCGTCTGCACCCAACCCCTCCCCTTTGTGCTCCCTCAAAAGCCACGCCCCTCACTTACATGCACAGAAGCGGAGCTCAGCTCGTGCACGATGGGGTAGAGAACGAGCAGGGAGACAGGGAGGCCTGATTGGTTCATCAGATTGGTACCTCGTGGCAGACATTGGTCATTTGACATTGGTCAAAGTTTTTACAGGCTTACAACTGCTACAGATGACGGATTTTCTTTGTTCCTTTTTCAGAGCACATGAATTATTAACTTCTGTCAGGACTAAAGACAATTTCAACCTAAATCTTTCTCTATTTCTGGAGAAAAGTATCAACCCTACCTTTAAGAGGAAATGTATGCCATATTATCTGGTATGTCAGTTGATAGATTCGTACCACATTAGTGTGGTCTCATGGCAGATGAAGCCGATAACAACACTTGAAATCAGGATGCAGGTGGCAAAATAATACCAACTCCGTCATTTATCAGGTAAATACATCTATATAGCCCTGAACTCTGCACAGCATCTGTGTGTAGTCTAACACCAACCATTCAAAGAGCGTCTGTGTGGCTCAGAACGTGTATCAGACTGAGCCAGGAAAACTTTATGAATCCCCTTTGAGTCAAAGACATGCCAAATCATTTCACCAATAGGCTGGAACTTCTGGTTGAAGACAGCCTTGATTGAAATATAAAGAAAAGCTCTGTGAAGCAGACTTTTGTTCATTAATCCAGTGAAGGAAAAAAAATACAGCCTTTAATCAGCAGTCAGTCAGACGGCACATGAACACATAAGTATTATTTCCAAAGCATCAAAGAATGGATGAAAGAAGTCACTCCTGACTTTAACTCGTGAGCTTTTTCCCTTTGTCAAAATTTGTGAACATTTCGATACAAGCGATTCATTGTAAGTTACGATGTTTTAGGTTTCAGACTCTGGCGTTCACTGAGTAGAATCTTTGTGACGCTGGGGTCAGCTTGAAGGCTGAAGTGGGAAGAAGTGGAAAGATCAGAGATGAGCGAGTCACAGCTTAGTTTTTCTTTTCAAGATGCCAATATTAAAGACTGAATATGCCTAAATCTTGGCTTTACAAAAAGTAACTGGGAATGGCATTTATGTATTTGAGGAGGTTCACATCAGGGTGTAGTCAGAAGAATATAAAATGTTAAGTTGTCTTTTCTAATCACTCTTAAAACCAAACCTGTGTAAATTATTTACTAAACTATAGCTTTAACTGCTCTGAAATAAGCTGTCTCGGTCTGTCTGAAGCTCACTAGCTAAACAGTATTTTACGTAACACCTTTTTATTCCTAATATATGAACCGCCAAAAAATGTAATTAATATCCCCATACAAGATTAGTGCATGAATCAGGAAGTGTTTCCTAGTTGAAGGCCGTCCTGGAGGCTATCAGGTGATGGCTAACAGAACTACCTCTGTCTTGCTCTGGAACTGATTGATCTCCGGAAACACCAGGCAATTACAATTTAGAGAGAGGTCTTGTCATATTCTACATTAGGATTTACAAGTTTTGGCAGATGCTTCAGTGTTTCCAACACATAGATGATACCTGATCCAGGTATATTTATGGTTCACTGTAGTTTAATTTAATTAATTTGTGGCCTTTTTTTGGCTAATCCACAATATCGCTGCAGCCAAGAGAAAAAGCAAGAGAGTAAAAGAGAAAATGAAGAGTGAGAAGTTCGCTGACCGTACAGCCCCCCCCCCCACTCCTTCCCATAAATGTAATAACTGTAAATGGACTTGAGTTTGTATAGTGCTTTTCCAGTGTTCTGACTGCTCAATGCACTTTTACACCTCAGGTCACACTTTCAGATTCACACCCATTCACACACTGATGGCAGAGGTGGCTATGTAAAGTGATCATCAGAACCAATAAAGCAGCGGGAGCAACTTCGGGGTTAAGTTTCTTGCCCAGGACACATCGGACATGTGGCTGCAGGAGCTGGGGATCAAACCCCCAACCTTCCAGCTTAAGAGACGACCTACTCTACCACGGAGCTTGGAAGAAGAGCTGCTTCCAACCAACTCACGTTGTTTATTTGAGCCAATTTATTTCTGCCAGCAAAGTTTTGCATATTTCAAAACAACTGCTGCAGTCTTAAACAATACACCTTTTGTTTGCTCATCATGGATCAAATATTTAGCAGACAAAAATGTTTTTGTTTGAAATGCCAATCACTGAACTGTGAACTGTGTAGTAAATGGCCATAGAGGCAGATTAAAGGGATACTTCACCCATTTGCATTAAGCTTTTTATCATTAGAAACCTGGTAGTATTTTTGAATGGTCGTGCATCTCGCCCTCATTTTCCCCTGAGATGCCGCAGCAACCAAGAAACAAAGCCAGCCTTATGTGTTGAAGTAAATATGTCTCTAAACATGACCTTAGTGGGAGTGGCCTGCGGTGCTGTGCATTCTGGGATTTGGTGTCTTTCATCCACATGAGCCAAAAAGACAGTTTCTGCCTCTTTTCGGCCAAGAAGGCACCAACTTCAAAATGTATTTCACATTTCTACTACATATATGACCCAATGTCAATACAGGATTAAGCCACATACCGATTTGCTACTCGAACGGACAGCTGTCACTTGTCTGGGTATATATGCCGATCAGAGAATCGTATAAATGGTCGGAGCATGGCTGAGCCACTTCCGGTTGACCGATACGTCACAGCAACAACAAACTATCTGGCGGCATTCAAACAAAGATGGCGTACAAGGAGATGGACGAAGCTACGTACATTTTGTGCATTATTTACATTCTAATGCATATTAGAAGAACAACGGATCTTTTGGCTGTGGCGATAACAGCAGAAGGACGCCGTTTCCGGCAACAACACTACTATTTATTATGTCGTCTCCTTACACTTCTGGGTGAAAGCCCCGGCGGAAATTCTCGAGCGTGCGCAGAACGCGAAATCCGATTACGATACGAAGGCTGAGTTTACATGCCGTTGGTTTGCCGACTATGAACAACTTATCTAGGTGTTCTTTTCTGATTATGAAATGTCCGTTATGGTCCAATTTTGATTCGATGTAGGTCGGACTAAGATGTTTACGTGCATTTTAAAAGTCCAAACAGTGTCTGATACGATCAGAAATTCGAATATCTAGCGACATGTAACCGTACTGACTGAGATGGTCACCAAGGCTTAGTGATAGGTTGATTTTTTGGGAGTTTATCAGTTCAACGTTAAATCATTTGTATTTTCAGTTTTTCTTAGTAATCGTGAACGTATGGTGGTTTTAAGTTTCTCTCTAACAGTATCATAAACTAAGTGTTTTTAAACATATTTCTGGTATTTACTGTGGCCAGACACTGAGAAGAAATCTGCCTGTGTTAAATGGCTTTGATTATTTTTCAAACATTTATTTGTAATCGTTGTCCTGTCAAAGCAAGACAAAACTACACACATAAAAAAACCAGAGCATGCAATAAAGTTTTATCTTAACTTTATCTGTTCAGGAAGTACTTAACAGTGCAAGGCGTG